CAATCTCGGCCTAGACCAGCAACATGCACACTAGGGCGACGGGACGAGAATAGAGGAGCGGGGCCGAAACACTATTGGACGAGTGACTCAGAGAGTCGAGGAGCAATGCGGCGCCCCGGCCGAGACATAGCACAAAGGAAGGAAAGGAAGGAGTGCTTCGGACTAGCCGGGAACTGTGTTTCAGCATACTCGTTGAATCGCAGCGGGTGAGCGGATCCTCATCGCGTGGCCTCGCTCCCGGCAGTCCAGATGGACGCTTCGCACGGGCATCAGGAGTACGAGCAGGCATCGGCAGCACGAGAAATAGCTCGATGTTCCTGATCGCTCTGCTGTACTATCATTGCAATGCTCGGAGTGTTCTCTTTTGCAATACCTCACGGTTGGCCGTCATTCGCCGTGTAGTGCGCGAGCTAAAACTGTGTATAAGCGGCCTGGTTCAGTCTCATCGAACACCCCTTTTGGTGAAGACGTGTTGTATCAGTATCCCTTTCCATGCAATAATACATCGTGCGAGTCGGCGTTACGCACTCAGCCGTGTCCTGTCGTGCCTTTAGAGATGCTGCAGTAGGTGCCCGGGCATGCCTGGCGCCTGTCGTCGTAAGCCGCTCCAAACTTGCCGCGCAGCTTCGGTGTTCGTTGCGTGTCCTAAATGTCGCACCAGATTGAAACAAATCATCGCGCAACCCTTGGAGCAGACTCCGTCATAACGTCGAGCAAGGTGCGCAGGATGGTCGCGCCGGAGTCGATGCCGACGGTTGCCGCCACGAACGCCACAGCGAACCCTGTGCATGTAGCCTGGACATCTTGTTCACAGCGAGATCCTGCATCAGCGGAGGATCCGCCATTGCAGCTGTAGCCGGCGTGTTCGACCAGGTCTCTACCGAAGAATAGGGTGTACCACAAGACGATGTTGATGCCCCATAACCATCTGGCTTTCGTGCTGAGTCCTCTCGAGCGGGCGGCAGCGTTGCCATCAGCTGACTCCTGCTGGCTCTCTCTTGCGTCGGAGTCTTTCAGAGACCTTGGCAGCTTGCCGTCTTGGTTGTAGGGGGGCGCTCTTGAGCTTGCAAAGTTGCGCACCGCTCTTTTGACCGCAACAAGCAGGGCCGCCGCGAGCGAGGCCCACGCGGCGCTGATGAGGATCGCGAACCACATTGATCTCTCGTTGGCGGCGCTCATTGTTCAGTCTACGATCGGGTTGAGAGGGTATCGGCGCCGGCGTTGCATTGCTCCGTGACGTAATGGGCTGTCGGGGCGAGTGGCACGGCTTTGTCGACCAGGCCGTGGGTTATTAGGCACGGAAACTTAAACTGGGACCTTCTGCGGATTGACGGACTGTCCCAGAGACTCGAGCGCTACGTATCGTGCGGGAACGTGCTGTAGTCGCGAACGTCGCGGGAGTCCCGCAAATTGGTGGCACGGCACTTCCAACATGATCAACGGCTCGCTCATTCTTGACCCAGGGTGAAGGAATCTATCCAGTATCTACTTCTTTTCGCTCAAGTAGCATAACTAGTGGAGTCCCGCTTCCTCGCCGCCACACAGTCCAGACTTAGAGGGGCAGCCGGCAGTCGGCATCTTGTTTCCAAAATGCAAACTGCCAGCCTCGGTGGGTGCAAAAATGCAATGCAAGGGAAGTCCCCACCAATACTTACGCACATCGGCGAGCCCATCATTTGCTCGAGGGGAGTCCCGTCCATTAGCAACACACATACTACCTTTGTGTCTGATTCGAAAAGATTCGCCCCTGGAGGTTGATAACGCAAGGGCGAGTGTCGAGTGCGAGCAAGGGCAATGTTCAGGCAACGGTATGTCTCTGTCTCTTTTCGCCTGCAAGGGTTAAATACCGCATACAGTCCGACACTTTGATCATGGTCACCTGATACGCTTGCCCCACCTGAGGACACATGCACCATGCAGCAGACTCCATCGGCGCTTGCATTGTGCATTGTGCATTGTGCCTCGTCCTACGTCCCTAGTCTTTCAGAGGCATCGGCTCAGGCAATTGCACACGCCACTAATCATTGACGGGGAGATGCCTTCTCCATGGACACGAGGGCACCGCTGTCGTCATTCTCAATGTCAGCCCCCGCGGCAAATTCCAGTGGAAGGTGTTCGGAAGGCTGCGCATTTACTGGAGCCAGTTAAATCTTGTCCGTGTTGCGTGGCGTTCGCGCTTAGAGTGATGTGGTCAATAATGCAGAAAGAACAGAGGTGCCGCCTGGTGGGCGTCCGCGA